CTGTAGCCGCTTGGTATTCTAATTCCTGGCTCTTTGGTTAAAAACGAACAAAACAAAAGAAACACTGTCCACAGCTGAAAACAGGACTAATGAGGTGACTGGGTCTCTTTTCACTCCAGGTAAGTGCTGGTGCTGGATGCTGGGTGCCGGGTGCCGTCCAGGGGGTGCTCTGGGAGTACTTAGTTCCTAGGCTGCTCTGCAACTCTACAGGGTAGAAGTTCAGCTGTGAAACTGACTATCTGCAGCAAGGCAAGTGCATTGTATCTAGTAGAGATGTCTGGTAGAGATTCTTTCTTTTTTTTTTTTAGTAGCAATAGTTTCTTTTTTTAATTTTAATATACTTTAGGAAACAATATACAAAGCTGTGCTTTCCTGCTGTTTCCAGATAACAGCAGGAAGTTTCCATTACACAAATTGAGCCTTTTGTGATGGCTTAGAACAGCAGTCAGCAGCAGACTTGAACAGTGAGCTACAACGCAAACCTCCAAATGAAATGTCGTAAGAGCAAGACAGGTAAACAAGGGTTTACCAAATGACAACCACCTGGGAAGTGACTTAATCATTCTTGTTGAATTTCTTATTTCATTAAATTTATACACAATTTCCTGTTAGTACGCCTTAAACAAAACCTCCCTTAAGAAATTATTTCAATTAAGTATAAATATTCAACAAGAATAGTTGAATATTAGATATCAATATCAACTGCGTCATATCTGGTAGAGGGATGTCTGGCTCACTTCCTGTTATAGCTCAGGCTGCTGTAACAAAATACCACAAACTGGGTGGCTTACACAGCAGACATTTATTTCTCACAGTTCTGGAGGCTGTGAAGTCCAAGAACAAGACACCGACAGATTCCACAGCTGATGAGGATCCTGCTGCTGCTTTGCAGGCAGCTGTCTTCTCACTGTGTCCTCACATGGTGGGGAAGGAGTGAGCTCTGGTCTCTTCCTCTTCCTAAGGACACTAATCCCATCCCAGGGGCCCTACCCTCGTGATCTCATCTAAACGTAATTACTTCCCCAGATCCCCACCTCGTAATGCCATCATATTGGGGGTTGGGGCTTCAACACATGAATGTGATGGGGAGGACATAAACATTAAGTCCACAACTTCACCTTATAGAAAAGATAACCCACAACATTATATTCTATTGCCTTATAGGATATTAACCAGTTTTGCATCTATTAGCAGATGTATTTCAGCATTTGTGATTGCTTCTTTCTATGTCTGTTCTTCAAATTTCCTTTGAGCTGGCCTTAACTAATTACTAGCTCATCACTAATGAATGAGTTTTCACTTTACATCCACCTAAGGGTCAAATATTTTAGCTTCTGAAAATTATCCTTTAGTATCACGGCTTTGTGCACATTTGTTGTCGGAAAGGAAAATGGGTGAATGCACTGTGATTGCTGGAACCAGGTTTCTGCTGACAAAGAATGGGGAGAAGCATATGGAAAGGGTGAAGACTATGGTGTTGCATTTGGATTGGAGGTATCCTTATTTAAAAAAATTTTTTTCTAACTCTGATCACTGCAACACCTAAAAGCAATAACATCTAGTGCCAATGGGCACAGCTAGAGCCCAGATTTTGAATTCTAAATACCATTACTCGCTAAAGAAAGAACTATCATTCCTTGAAGATATTATTGTACCAGAGTGAGCACAGAAAGTCAACACCAGGACAAAAATAGGCCAGATTGCAGACACAGAGCACTCACATCTCACTAATGCTTATCTTGACTTCGGTGAACCACTTAAGGAACAATCAGAATGTCCGAAGCCCCTCACCCTCACCCCTGCCCAGGAGGTGGTTTACAGTCATAAAAGGTCCTCTGTGGCTGCCGGCAACAAAGACCCTGCAATTTGGCATACTTTTGTCTTGGTGTTGACTTTCTATGCTCGCTCTGGTACAACATGATGGCTGGTGGCAGATGAGACTAGGAAAGTCCAGGGAGAATGTGAAACACTCTGCTGTGCCATAAAACAAGAAAGTACTGAAAACTGACAGAAATATGACAAAAGGACCCTGGAGCCATCTTCGGGGTTTCCCACTGGCTGGGTTTGGGATAACTTCAGCATTGAAAAGAACAAAGGCATTGTTGAAGTAGAACACACAAAATTTAAAAAAATGAGTAACGGTACTGAAAAAAAAGGGCAGAGCTAAAGGAAAGCTCTTCTTTATAGAAAAATATCAGAAAATAAGTGTATAATAAATGATCCAGACAAGGATTATCAATGGCAAAAATTGGTGGAGAAACAGGGTATTCATACAATCTCCCTGTATCAACATGCAGATTACTTATTAATTGCAGAGGGGAAATATCTGCCTTTAAAATGGAGAAATGTGGTGACTATCACTGTGAGCAGTTCGTTAAATTTAGCATCGCCCACACCAGGACAAACTGGCAGTATGTGCTCCTGATAGGACCAGCCAACGCCACATCATGGCCAATGCCGTGTTCTTGCCAAAAATATACAATGTGCACCTAACTCTGAAGAAATAATCATGAGTGAATACAAAATCAACACAACACACAAGGAACTCTGGCAGATCAATAAGAAAAGAAATCCCTTCTTATCGGACATTCTCATACCATCATGGCCTAATCTATGTCCCAGCTGTCACCAGCAATACCGGTCCCCATCTGTATTTCCAGCAGGGACCAGATTTTGGAACTCCATTCTCTTCTCGTCTTGCCATGGAGACCTCTTTACTTAGAGGTCTCAGAGCATTTCAGTCATTACAGCCAGCCCAGAACCAATGTTCCTCCCATTTTTCTTTTTTTTGTTTTGAGATAAAGACTCCCTCTTTTGCCCATGCTGGAGTGCAGTGGCGCAATATCGGCTCACTGCAACCTCCGCCTCCTGGGTTCAAGTGATTTTCCTGCCTCAGCCTCCCAAGTAGCTGGGACTACAGGCACGCGCCACCAGGCCTGGCTAGTGTTTTTCGTTTTTGTTTTTGTTTTTAAGCAGAGACAGGATTTCGCCATATTGGCCAGGCTTGTCTCAAACTCCTGCCCTCATGATCTGCCCGCCTCAGCCTCCCAAAGTGCTGGGATTTCGGGTGTGAGCCATCGTGCCCGGCCCTTCTTCTTTGACTTACATGCCCTTTGCAGTTGGTGTTATCCCCTGTCCCAAAGCCCAAAGCCATCCTAGACGCCAGCTCTCCTCCATGTCCCACATCACCACCACCACCACCTGTGCTTCTAGCCACAGAGCTCCTGGCCTTTCTGTGCTCTGAGCCCTCTGCTAAGCCCCCAGGATCCTCTCACCCCTGTCACCACTCATGCAGCCTCATGCTACTGAAATGCATTTTCTTCCATTGTGCTTACACCCTTAATGACCTGGTCCCCATCCTCCCCTCATCTCTCCTAGACACACGCCATCCTACAGCCATGTCCACATACACTGTCCCTAAGACTCGCCATTCCTGAGAACTGCCTGGCTCCCTCTCAGCCCATGGCCTTGCGATGCATTGCCTGAAGTGGTCTGTCTCAGACTTTTCCAGCTGACACTTCCTACCTGCAAGACCTCATCAACTTCAGGCTAGATGGAGTACTCCCGTCCCACAGCACCGAGCTTTGGCAGACAGGTGATGCTGGGCGTCGTGTCTGTTTCTCTGGCCCGTGAGCTGCAGAATTACTCAAGGATAGGGCTGCCATGCACTTCTGTATCCTTGGTCCTGATATGGCAGCTGGCCCATGAAAGGAAATGAATGATGAGACATGATCACTGAATGTCTTACAAAGCCCTTTCACACTCTTGCTGGGGTTTCAAAGCCTGGAATCCTCCATGGAGGTGATGCCTCATGCTCTGAAACCTGAGGAGGTGAAAACATGTCAGCACAGCCCATGGCCCTTTCTAAGTTTGGAGAGCTCTCCACTCTATTCATCTTGACTGAAAAGTGGGGTGCACAGACCATTCCCACCATGGGGGATGAAACTGCCAGACTGTTTTTTCCAGCTTCCCTGGCCCCTCGCCCATCAGATCCACCCAGGCTGGCTTTGAAGGGACAAGGAGGTCTCACTTTGGTAACAGCAACAGCCATTTCCCAACCAGAAGCAACGTACAGTGTGGCCTGGAGCATTTCCTCCAGCTTCCAGGCCCTGAGTGGAATTCTCAACAACCCCTGACAATCGTGGGAGCTTCCCCTCCTTCCCTCAACACACAAGTGCCTGTTCTTCCTGGCTCGGCTGCAGGCAGCTTCTTTGCTTGCAACTGAGAACTTGACTGATGAAACAGATAGAATCTTTGGAGGCCAAGAAATCAAAAAGCGGTCAGTGCTAAACCTGGCCAAGGCCACAGTTCCAAATGAATTGTGATTATGAAGAGGCAAGCATAGTTTTCATGTCTGTCCTTTAAAAAATGTTCAAAGGAGGAGAGTCACAATGTACTTGCCAATGTTGACATAGGTGCTGTCCTTTCGATGACTATGATGGGCTGAAGGCCACATGCTCGGACACCTGCTCACAAGATGCTCCCACTAATTTAGTCTCACCTTGTTACACGGATACTCTAACAGCTCTCAGAAACACTTCCTGGCGTTTCTTTAACCGTACAGGTAAAGTGCAAGGTCATCTTCTATGTGTGTCTACGTTCATGATTAACTATCAGTGAGACACAGGATTGTGTCTCTTCCACTGGTGGGTCTGCCAGCCTCGTGCCACCCCCAGTCTTCGGGAGCAGGATGGAGTGTGAGGCTTCAGGCAAAGCAATGACAAGGGTGGCTTTCTGGTGCAGATTCGTATTCAAAACCTTCGGCTAGCATCAGAGTTTGATCTACCTGTACCGAATTCTGAACGAGTGGGTAAATGCATCGAGTGTCCCAAATGCATAGCATGTGCCCTCACAGCGATCAGCCCTTCCCTGGCACCCCTTGGTAGCAGGACATGGTTTCTGATCATTTCAATACTGATGCATCGCACCGGGAGCACGGGCTGCCTGGCGGCGGTGCTCTGGCCACGGCTCTGGGAGGGAAGGGGAAAGCCCACTCTTACCTGCCTGTGCAGCTGTGATTAGGGCTGTGTTCCCCTCGCTGTCCTGCCAGTTGACGTCAACGTGGGGGCACTCTGCTAAGGCCACCACAGTATCCACAAAGCCGTGGTAGCAGGCGACAATAAGGCCGGTCTAGAAATGAAGAGGGGAAGCGGGTCAGAGGGGCAGAGCCGGAGCATGGTGGTCAGCAACCAGGGACCTCGAGGGGCACCCACTACCCTCCAGGGAGCTGGACAGGCAGTGACAGGGACCCAGAGTCCTAAATCTCAGAGATAGTTTACAGCGAGCCAGCCACTCGTTCCTTCTCAAATGTGTGTTGAGGACTGACTCGAGTGAGGGCCTAGGCATGGAAACCTCGGTGGACTATCAAGATTTCAGCCCTCCAGGGGCGTGCTTTCCCCAGAGAGCGAAACACACCAACTACAGGGCTCATAGGGAAATAAACGTAGAGAAAGGTGCGTGGGTGATGTGGGGCAGCTCTCAAGGGAATAGGGTGGTCAGACTGGGCTTGCCAGAGGTGACACTGGGGCCCATATGTGAAAGAGGCAAGGCAATGGGCCACAGGGATAGAGAGAGAGGGAAACGCCCCAGTGGATGAAACAGCTCGAGCAAAGGCCCCAAGTCAGGACCGTGCCTGCTCCATCCAGGGAGTAGCCCAGCAGCCAGTGGGGTTAGAGCAGAGTGAGAAGAGGAGTGACCTGGGTCCAGGAGGCAACAGGGAACCTCAGAAGCCGTGGACAGGGCCCTGGGGACCCCGTGAGTAGGGGGAACACCCTAAGCGGTCCGCTGCCAATCATCTATATCCACTCCGGGTGCTGGGCGGGAAACAGGCTCTGGAAGAACAGGGTGGAGATCGGGGGCTGGTGGGAGGCCACCGTGGGGCCAGGCAGATGACAATGGTGTCACATCAGGGTAGGGGCAGCAGTGGGGAGGCGAATTTGGATTCTGGAAAGGAAGATTTGCTGTTAGAATGGAGGTGAGGTTGGATAGAAAAAGAGTCCAGGATAACCCCAAAGTTTCAGTCGTAGCAGCTGAGAGGATGCATTTCCTTCAAATGAGAGGGGCAGGACGTGGGCAGAGCCGGCGTGGGGACAGATGGCATGCAGACCTCAGTGCACTGTGTGAGACTGTCCTGGACAACCTGATGGAGACGTCAGGTAGAGGCAGATAGCAGGTGAAGTCATGGAGAGAGAAGCAAGCTAGATACATACACTTGAGGGTTGACTTTGGAGATCTAGTAATGACACTTGGTCTTAGCCAAAAGGCCGAGAAGCGATGGAGATCTAGTAATTAACCGTCACCAAATGTTAACATCCTAGCTCCCAGTGGGGTGGTGCCAGGAAGTGGGGCTTTGGTGGGGTGATTAGATCACAAGGATGGAGCCCCCATAAATGGAATCAGTGTCCCATAAAAGGGACCTCAAGAGCACTCTTGTGCCTTTTTCCTCCATGTGAGGACACACAGAGAAGTCTGAAGTCTGCACCCTGGATGAAGACCCGGGCCGAATCCCAGCGTGCTGGCGCCCTGATCTTGGGCTTCCAGCCTCCAGAACTGTGAGAGATAAATTTCCATTCTGTGGAAATTTCCTTCCCAAACTGTGAGGAATCAAGTTCCATTCTGAGTAAGCGCCCAGTCTGTGGTTTCATTGCAGCAGCCTGAGCTGATGAAGAGACCTCGTAGCAAAGGAAAACAGCGTAGCCTCAGGTTCACCGCCTCACACGCGCAGATACAGTGAGATGCTAAAATCAACCCAGGCTAGGAGCTAATCAATTTTCACTCGGCACTGCCAGCAACACCGCCACTGCATGCGGGGCACAGAGTTTACATTGAGAGCAACTCCACAGCAGCTCAGCCCAATTCCTACCAGATTTTTTGTTTGTTTGTTTTTGAGATGGAGTTTCGCTCTTGTTGCCCAGACTGGAGTGCAGTGATGTGATCTCAGCTCACTGCAACCTCCGCTTCCTGGGTTCAAGCGATTCTCTCACCTCAGTCTCTCAAGTAGCTGGGATTACAGGCATGCGCCACCATGCCCGGCTAATTTGTATTTTTAGTAGAGACAGAGTTTCATCATGTTGGTCAGACTGTTTTCAAACTCCTAACCTCAGGTGATCCACCCACCTCGGTCTCCCAAAGTGCTGGGATTACAGGCGTGAGCCACCACATCAGCCAATTTTTAATAAGAATATAATTTTTCATGGAACAATGAGAGGACTGAAGTAGCCCTGCCCACTTGATAAGGCTGCTAATTGCCCCCTAGAGGACTATTAAATCACAAATGTTAACGTTTTTAAAGTTCTACAGAATACCATTGATTTTCTAACCCTGACATCCACACCACGGCATAATCAATTCAGTAACTGGGGACTACGGTAAAGGCTCTTTAACATACTCTAGCTTACGCATCCTTTGAAATAGGTCATTCCAGCTATACAGTGAAATGTTTCACAATAATCTAATTTTAAAGAGAAAAGAGTAGGCTGCTGGAGGCTCTACTCAGAAGCCGCTGAGGTTTTCAGCTTCTCTGGGAATGGAGAGTTTGCTGCCACCTCCAGCCTCCCAGCTAACCTATCCCCCTGCTTTCGCATCAGTGCGCCGGAAAACTTGTAAATCCACCCAGGGAGCGCCCAAGAATCATTTTTAACTTCTTTGGATGGAGATATTGCTCTAGTATTCTACAGTTTCCTGACTTATGAATAAAATACATTGAGCATAATGTAACATCTTCCTTTGCATATAATTACACAAGTAGCTCATATTTATGGCAGAAAAAGATCCAAAAATCAAAGAAAAAAATGTTATAGACCAGACACACACACGCACACGTTTTTCTTTAAATGAAAACAGGACCATTTGCTATATAGTCTTAGGAATGTATCACCAATATCTTCACATCCATAAGAGTAACTCTGTGTGAAAATTTCTGGTAGATACCGAGTATTCTATTCGATGTGGGGTAGAATTGCTATTTAACAAATCCCTATTCTTGGACACTCAGATGATCTGTTTCTCACTTTTCCTTCTTACGTGTAAAACTGGCAATGAAAACCCCTAGAGCTAAGGCTTTGTGTATTTTGTTTCTTGTTTTCTCAGGAGACATTGTAAGAAGCAGTGTTTCTGGATTAAAGGAAATAGGTATTTTGAAAGCTTTTAGCATAGATTGCAAACCTGCGCTTCAGGAAGGTCCCAGATGGCACCTGCCTTTGCCAGCCCTGACATCCAACCTGCACTTAAAGGGCTCGGGTTAAAAGGAATGTCTTCCCTCGGTAGGTACAGGAGGGACGCTCTCAGGGCTCCGGAAGTATCTTCCTCCTGAATTAGGCCTCTTTCAGGAATACCCGCCCCTCCCCTCCCCTCACCCCAACCGGTGAAGGATTCTGCTCTGGACACATAGCCCCTCCTTCTCACCCCCACACTCCTCCAGCTTCCTAAGGTAAAACTTCCCAAAATGTGCAGCAGGCACCTGCTGGCAGCAACCTCAGGAAGGCTGATACAATATTAGAACATCACTTTTTCTTTTTTTTGAGACAGAGTTTTGCTCTGTTGCCCAGGCTGGTGTGCTGTGCTGCCATCTTGGCTCACTGCAACTTCCACCTCCCAGGTTCAAGAGATTCACCTGCCTCAGCCTCCCGAGTAGCTAGGACTACAGGCACCCCCTCTACCAAGATCAGCTAATTTTTGTATTTTTACTAGAGGCAAGGTTTCACCATGTTGGCCAGGCTGATCTCAAACTCCTGACCTCAAATAATACACCCACCTCAGCCTCACAAAGTGCTGGGATTATAGGTGTGAGCCATGGCACCTGGCCAGAACATCACTTAATATTCTAACAAATTAAATGAGGGAGGCAGGTCCGGTGTGGTGGCTTACGTCTAACTCCAGTACTTTGGGAGGCCAAGATGGGAGGACCACTTGAGGCCAGGAGTTTGAGAACAGCTTGAGCAAGACAGTGAGACCCCATCTCTACAAAAAAAAATATTTTTTTTAATTAGCCAGACATGGTAGCACATATCTGTAGTCCCAGCCACTCAGCAGGCTGAGATGGAAAGATTGTTCGTGCCTGGGACGTCAAGGCTGCAGTGAGCCGAGATCATGCCACTGAACTCCAGTCTGGGTGACAAAGCAAGATCCTGTCTCAAAAAAAAAGTTGGGGGAAGGTCATCATTATCTAAGTGCATTAAAGCTCTCGACACATACACATGCACACACAGGAAACTGCATAGAAAACATCTAGAAAAACCACACCAAAGTGTTAAGAACAGAAGGAAGATGAATGGGAGGCGTGTGATGATTAATTTCATGTATCAACTTGGCTAGGCCACAGTACCTAGATATTTGGTTAAACATTATTCCAGATATTTCCGTGAAGGTATTCTTTAAATGAAACTGATATTTAAACCAACAGACTTTGAGTAGAGTAGATGCCCTCTGTCATGTGAGTGGGCCTCATCCAATCAGCTGAAGACCTTGAGAAAAAAGGCTGGCCTCCCCACACCCTGGAAAGAAGACACTTGACCAGCGCCGCTGCCTTCAGAGTCAAACTGCAACTCTTCCCCAGATCTCCAGGTTTGGAACGTGCCAGCCCCTACAATCATGCAGGCCAACTCATTAAAACAAGTCTCTCCCTTTTTCTACATATACGTACACACACACACACACACACACACACACACACACACTCTTTCTCTAGAGACCCCTGACTAATCCAGGGTGGATGGAGTGGGGAAGGAACACTTTGGAAGAACCACATTCATTCATTCATTCATTCATTCATTTTGAGACGGAGTTTTGCTCTTGTCACCCAGGCTGGAGTTCGATGGTGAGATCTTCGCTTACTGTAACCTCTGCCTCCCAGGTTCAAGCCATTCTCCTGCCTCAGCCTCCCAAGTAGCTGGGATTATAGGCATGCACCAGCTCACCCAGCTAATTTTGTATTTTTAGTAGAGACAGTTTTCTCCATGTTGGTTAGGCTGGTCTCCAACTCCCGACCTCAGGTGATCTGCCTACCTCGGCCACCCAAAGTACTGGGATTACAGGCGTGAGCCCCCGTGCCTGCCCACTACTACTTTCACTCTTTACCCCACATGATTCTGTGCAGTTAGAATTCTTTTTTCAAAGGAATCTGTATTCATGAG